ATGGAAAAAGGAAATGGCCTAAAAATAAAAGTAGCTAAAGCTGCCCCTCAGATTCAACCTTTGATACAAAAAGGCAAAAAACAAAACAAAACAAAACAAAACAAAAAAAAACTAACAGTGCTGTAGCTATGAAATACTCCACACTGGAACTGTTAAAACTAGGAAAAACCTACAAGCAAGTAATCAAAGAGCCCCTCACTACGTGGCTCGTGAGGGTATGGGACATGGGAGCAAATAATGTCAGTCCAAGACCTTCAGAAGCTTCACAGCTGAGTTACATAACCAACAATCTGTCCTTGAGATATAGGCTATTCAACCTAGGCCAATGCAGTGGGGAGCAGTCCTTAATGGGATGGCTGGTTGAAGGCATTAGAGATACATGGTCATCACCAAGGGAAACTCCCATAATTAACAATGGCTGGAAACTATAAAGGAGGAACAGACATTACTGAAAGAACTAGGCATGAGAAAAGCAATAGTATGATGCCGGGTTCACTGGGCCAGATAAGACTCTGTTCAGCAGAGATAGAAAGAAAAGCTTAATTTAACTGGGACCTCGAGAATGGTATGGAGCTTTAATGGTTTTGCTAAGCCCCTTAATGGGACTTAAGTGAAAGAGGCTTTAGCAGACCTAAATGATTCTGACCAGCATGTGAAATGTATCTATAGAATAACAGAATACCCCACAAGAGATATAAAAATGACCAGACAGGAAAAATGGCCCATTTGGGTTAATCAAAGACAAATGTGGCAAGAATTATGTCAAGCCTAAATTCCCAGAGGAAAAAATTGGTAGAAAACCAAATTTGGTACTAAGAAGTTTATGGAAGGCTTTAAAACCAGAACAGTTTATGAAAGACATTCAAAGGATAAAAACTGTCCCAGGGGTAGTTAAAAATCCCCAAAAATTGAATAAGATGCATTTCTATCCTGATAAAGGCTATACTAGGGGTGGAGGCCGTTTTTCCCACCAAGGCCTCCCCCAGCTGCCAGGTACAGTCAGTGAAGAAATGACAGATGTGGCTACAGTTAGGAGGCAAATCCAGGGCCTGCCTGACTCAGGGAAACCACAGGTACAGCGGGAACAAGAGAAACACCCTGTCTCTGTAGCCCAGTGCAGGGTCAGGCAACCAGAGCAAACACCTGTAAGTATATCAAGATAAAAGAATACAAAGAAACTCCATGTAAAATCCCCAAATACGAAATGACACCAAAGGGACAACGAAAGATAGTAAAGAGCTAACCAAATTAATGCCTCGTACCCATGCTATGGTACCTAACAAGGACCTATGGAGAAAACAGTTAATACAAATGGACAAAACCTTTCCATGCCTTGTGAGACCTTGTCTATGAGTGACTTAATATATGATGTTAACCTTCCTTCGAGTGTTTTACAGATGTGAAACCCATTTGAAAGATACCTGAAGAAGCAAAGGCCAATTATAGCTGTAAGAGTCTTGGGAGTTTTATGGGTGGGTAAGATAAAAACAGAGGCTCCCAAACTATATAACTGTTAAGAAACTCTACAGTACCAGGAGTGGGTTGCCCCCCTATGAGCTGTTGGCAAGAGAGAGATCCTAGAGGTCCTCAAATTCACCAAGGCTATTGCCATTAATGCTGGTTGTACACTAGAAAGGTTGGTGTGGCCATGTTGCTGAGGACACTGCATGATGTGGGCGTGGGGGGAAAAGAAAGATGGAGCTGAGACTAAGCCAAAAACTCCATGCCACTGGATGGATAGCATTCATAGTGCCAGAAAGCTCTATGCAGATGGTTGGGGAAGAAAGGATCCCCTATGATTCTACTCAATAATGGACCCCACATGCTGCACACTATAGACATGGCAAGCAATGACTGCAGGTGTAATAATGGCTTGATTAACATACATACAACTGACAAATTTCTAATTGGATAAGGCCCACTCCTAGGGGTGGAACACCCATCTGGTCTTGTAGACCAGGCCAACCCCTTGTGTCAAGAAAGGCTACAGGCCCTAGTGGGGAAGCCATTGCAAGAATACTGTTTAATGAATATAGTACAGCTACTGGGATATCCTCTAGGCATCTGTATTTGCATTCATGTTTGTTTAAATGTGTCTACTTCCTTCTATTTGTCTTTATAGTAGAAGAGATACCCACTGAGCTAGACCAATGGCCACGGCTTGAAGACAAATAATGGGGAGGCCCAAGAAGTCACTATCTCGCCATGATACAAGAGAGATTGCCCTACATCAGTCACCCCTTCCAAGGCTCAGGGACCTTAGCTGAAGATTAGCAGAAAGATTCTAAGAGCCAGAGGAAGGGGTGGAGTGTGTCCTGGGGGATACTCGTTCCTCCGTGGGGCAGGGCCTGCTATGGAAAATTGGTGGCAGAGAGTTAGCTACAAAGAGGGAACAGCGGAGAATTAGCTATGGAGGGAGGTGCATTGGCACGATCTGGGAAATGGGTAGCACAGAAAATACAGCCCTGGTGTCTCACCTGCATGGATGCAAGAGGGGTCATTTACCGACCTGGGGCGAGACTGCAGGCCCACAAAGTATGGGAGAGAGTTAAGGGAGACTGTGGGCAGGGCATAGAAGCCACCTGGAACAGCAGGCTGCAGAGCCACAGAGTGAAACAGGGCACCAGGTAATCACCTTTTGCAGTGTGCTGGGTGTTCACCTTTTTAAGTTACTCTATTTCTCCTATCCAGGATATAAACTATGAAAAATTCAGATAAAGATGTGTTATATGGTTTGTCTAATAGTGCCAGGAACAAGGGACCCTAAGAGAACTAGGGTGACAGGGCTCCACCAAGACCTGTTGGTGCTGACAAACAAATTCAGGAAACTTGTAAAATAAAATCAACATAAAAAATCATCTTCATTTCTGCATACAATGAACTGTGCAAAAATTGTAAATCCCTTTTTAAAAATAGCATCAAAGGGGCTGGAGAGATAGCTCAGTTCTTAATAGCACTGGCTGCTCTTGGAGAGGACCCAGGTTTGATTTGGCACATCCACATGACAGCTAAAAACCATCTATAACTCCAGTTCCAGGGGATCTGACACCCTCTTCCGACATCTGTGGACACTGCACAACACAGTTACACCTGCCTACATGCAGACAATACACTCATATTATTAAAAAGAACAAAATATTTTAATTAAAAATAAAATAATATCAAAATAAAGTAAGCATATATTTATTAAAAGAGTTTAAAGCTATATGCATTAAAAACTAGAAATTTAAAAAAATATTTTTTGAGATAAAATCATATTCTGTACACCAAGCTGGCCTAGAACTCATTATATAACCTAAACTTGCCTCAACTTCATAGAAATCCCCTACTCCTTCCCCTCAAGTTTTGAGACTACAGGTATAAGCCATCATACCAAGCTTATGCAATGATGAAGGAAACTGAAGATACCAATAAAGGGAAAAATACCTTTTGTTCATGACAGAATTAAAACTGTTAACATGCCCTTTGTACTCAAAATTATCTACATATTCAATGTAATTCCTATAAAATACAATGATACTCATATAATTAGGAAAACAATCTTAAATTTGTATGGAACCACAAAATATTCTGACGTCTTCATTCAATCTTGAGCAAGAATAACAAATCTCAAAGCATTAGCTAGCTGATTTAAAATATCCTAAGAAGCTTGATTAGTCATTTGATACTGGTATAAATACACATATAGATATATTGAATAGAAACCTATTATAAAAATAAACCTATTGATTTATGATATATTTATCTTCAACAAGTTTGCCAAGAACACACAGGAAAGGATATCTCCTCAATATGGTAGATGGAAAATCAGGTATCCAAATGCAGAAGAGAGAAGTGAGAACACTGTCTGCTGCACTGAAACATAACTCAGAATGGAGATTTAGAAGACCTGAAAACTTTTAAACACTGAAAGAAAACATAGGTAAAATCTTTCTTGACATTGTATGATTGTTTTCTGGATATGATTTCAAAACAGAGACAAAAAGAGAAATTACCCAAATGAGATTACAACTTAAAAAAGCTTTGACAGAGAGAAGGAAACAGTGGGTACAATGAACATATAATCTACAAGGATGGGGGGAAATATTTGCTGCCCACACATCTATGAAGAGGCTAATGTAGAAAATATATAAAGAAATATACAAGGAACTCAAACAACTTAATAGCAACAAAGTGGTCTAGTTTTTGCATGTTCTTTTATGGCCTGAAATTTGTATTACATCAAAATTTGTGTGTTGAATCTTATTCCCCACTGAAGTGCATTTGGAGGTGGGACCCAGGAAGGTAACCCTGTCACAGTGGTGAAACCCTCATGAATGTTATCACTGCCATGTCAAAGAGACCTGAGTGGTGGCTGCCTCCTTTGCCATTCAGCCACGTGGTGATTCACTGATTATACTAATCACTTCACAATGTATATGAGAGATTGTATTAATATTAACAATTTATTTCTACCTCAGTAAACTGAGAAAAAGAAAAAGATGGATTTAGTGTTTTGGAAGAAGGCATGGGACTCAAACATTAGAAAAATCTTGTATGATCTTGTATTGGCAGAAAAAATAACATTAAAATAAATGTTACCACATTATCTAGAGAGTCAATGAAATTCTCATTAAATTCTAATAACCTTCACAGAACTATAAGAAAATCCTGAATTAATATGAAGACACAGAGGATCATGAATAGTCAAAGCAATCCTAACCGAACAGAAAACTGCTGAAGGTAGTAAAACATGATTTCAAACTATACTACAGAGCCACAGTGACAAAGTCAGCAAGGTAGTAAAACACATGATTTCAAACTATACTATAGAGCCACAGTGACAAAGTCAGCAAGGTAGTAAAACACATGATATCAAACTATACTATAGAGCCACAGTGACAAAGTCAGCAAGGTAGCATCATTAAAACAGACTTGCAGGCCAAGAGAACAAAGCAGAGGATGGAGAAATAAACCCTCACAGATATGTACATCTAATTTTTCACAAAGGTGCCCATGACATACATGAGACTAAAGATAGCCTATTGAAAATATGGTAGTGATAAACCCAGATATTCACCTGCAGAATTTAAACTGACTGATATGATTCCCTCTGAACAAAAATAAATTTAGAGAGGATCAAAGGGTCCTGTTTTAAATGCTAAAATGCTAATATTGTTAGAGGAAAAAACTGAAAACATGTCAAGGTACAAGACAGGCGAGACTCTTCTGAGTAGGACACCAGGAGTGCAGAATTACCACAAGGAGCAGTGACAAGTGGGATCCGTTGAAATTAAAATGGTGCATAGTAAAGCAAAGTATCACCTGAGTTAACAAACAGCTTACAGAACAGGATACACTCTTCCAGCCACACTTCAGACAAAGTATCAGAATGTATCAATAGCTGAAAAAGAGAATATAAAAATCTAAAACTGTCAATCAATTAATGAGTTAACGAACTGAGCAAACAATTCTCCGAAGAGAAACAAGAGTCAACACATATTTTTAAATGTTCCTTATCCTTAATTGGGGATTAACGACTATCAACAAGGAAGCAAATAACAACAAATGCTTCAGTGGAGTCAAGGGAAAGGGAACTCTCATTCACTACTCTTGGGAGTGTAAGCTAGTGTAGCCACAAAAGACACCAGTGTGAAGTTTTCTCAAAAAAATAAAAATTAAAACCTTGTGACCCAACTATACCATTCCTGGGCATATACCCAAGGGACTCTAAATCCTACCAGAGAGAGACTTGCACAGTCATGTTTACTCTGTAGTCTTTACAAGGAAATGGAGATACATTAGTGATTCAGCAACACATGACTGGATATAAAACTGTGATACCTATACACAACGGAAATATATTCATCCATAAATGAAAATAAAACTCTGGAATTTGCATAAAATGGATAGAAATGACTGGCAATTACTATATTGGGTGAGGTAACACAGATTCAGGAAGATGAATATTGCATTTTTCTTTCCAAATCCTAGCTTTGATTCCTATGTAGATGTGAATAAGGATACTGGTCATGAATCTAGAACAGGGACCACAAGAGTGGAAAGGAGGTCTTGATAGGATACATGTGACAAGAAGTGGAGAGTGGGTATTTGGGGTAGAAGTAAGAGTAGGGAAGAAAGAAGGGAGATGAGTCAACACATAGGAACCTACCAAGACAATGTATGAGAAGTCACAATGAAGCACATTACTTAGTGTGCCGACTAAAAACAAACAAAAATGAAAAAGTCCCAGGCAACATTCATTGCTGAGGTTCACGTATTTTCATAAATGTCCTCTAAAGTTACATGTACTTGAAAAATTTAATTAAACAATCAAGGTCTGGTGATGAAACATTTTCATGGATGTTGTGCTTTTAAAAGCCTAATGCCCTCTTTGAATACAAGGCATTGGTTAAACATTCCTATGGCCTTGCTAATGAAAGGCACATTTCTGTCAGCTGACAATGAGTTTTCAAAATAATAAATCAATTTAAAGAGGTGTTCATAAATGGTAATGTAACGCAGGGATGTGTTCTTCACAGCTGACAGTTCATTAAAGTCCCAGCATCCTTCAGGCAAAGTAAATAGTTAGAAATAAAACCTATAAACATGCTTGGAAAATGATTCAGCAATGAAGTGCTTGTAACATAAGCATGAGGATCTGAGTTCAGACCTCATATAAAAAGCTGAGTGTGCCAGTGCACTGTAATTATACTTTGGGGACTTGGAGACAGGAAGACCCCTGGGGCTTGCACCACAGCTAGCTTAGCAGAATCAGGGAGCTCCAGTTTCAATAAGACATTGCCTCAAAAAGTAAGACAGACAGTGACTGAGGAGGAAGATACTCTCTGGCCTCTACATGCACACCCCCCCACACACACATACATATAACATGTGCACCTTACGTAAAAAACACACACAAAAAAAACCTTTAAATAAAGCAAAGCAAGGCTATATATGGTGGCTCACACCTTTTACCCCAGCACCCAGGAGGCAGAGGCAGCCGGATCTCTGTGAGTTCAAGGCCAGCCTGGTCTA